AATCAAAATCCAGTGTTTTTCTTTGAAAAATGATGTGAAAAAGATCTAAAGATGCTGAAAGTTCCAAAAACTGACAAAAATCGGTGGAACATGATGACTGATGATAGACTATGACAGAAACCCTTGAATCATGAAAATAATGAAGAAACATGATGGCATATAGTTAAAAACAACTTGAGTAGTCATAAGAAAATAATCGCAATAAAGAGCTATAATGTTGAAAACAACTTAATGGCGCACGTTATTTAAGTAAGAGCTATTTACTACGACAAATAGCATTAAGAAAATGGTACGGACCTTCTGTGTGTGTGCATTCCTTTGTTTGGTGTGTTTCGTTCTATCTTTGCTTATTCCTTTTGTTTTTCCTGCTTTCCTTTTAGTTACTATGATTACTATGATTATCACTTGCGTTTGTTTCTTTATTTCTCTCCTTCTTCTTCTCACAGCTCTAGGTGCCCCCGAAAGAGCGCACTGCAGCAAAGCCGCAAGCTTGGCGGTGCCCGTCCATGTCCAGTGGGTGTGAATTTTTCTTCTTGGTCTTCTTCTTGTTCTATGGGCTGTGCAAGACCCTAAGGCCCTGCCGGGGCGAACCCCAAAGCCCGCGCACAGTCCGAGCGTTCGTGATTCCCAGGAGGCCCGGAGAGATGATCATTGCAAATAAACTGGGGTTCCCAAGCACAATCAGCTTCAAAATGTACTCCCCGCATTCCATTCCCAAGTGATGATCCTCCCTTCTCAACCGGGTTGTGAAACTATGGCCTGCTCCTGTCTTTCTTACTTTCTTTTCAACATCTCCTCCTTTCCTTCTTTTTTCTGCGTCTCTTCGCTTCTTTCGATATGTTGTTCTTTTTTGCGATCCCCATGTCTTTGTTACCGCTCTCCTACTCCACACCAGCCCTTCCTTTCATGACCTGCATCTACGAAGCCAAGGCCCCATCGTAAGAAGGCCCGAAAAAAGCTTGCCCATAAATAGGAGTCAAATAAATTTGTAGCGCTGTGAGGATGTTCAACCGACACTATACAAGGTTTCTACAGCGACCACAATAAAGGCTTTTCATAGGGATTTGTTAGGAAGCTAAGGGTTGCTTGGGAACCATACAGGGCTCAGCAGTCATTGGCTTTCTAGGGTTTATCATGTAACATTATGTAGTGACCACGTAGTGTCAAGGGAATTTACCTGCAATGCGTAGGAATTCTTGGGGATCATAGGCTCACCCTTATGTCGGGTTCACGGGATCATGAGGCTTTGTAGGGACTATGCGAAATTGTGCCAGAATCATGTAGGAATTCTTTGGGGCTATGTAAGGAACTTGCGAGGCCGGGAGTTTACAAAGGATTACTATAGGGAGTATACCGGGATTTTGAGAATTATACAGCTGTTCTCCAGCCATCATGGGATCATGTACAATGATGCGTAAAGGCTATATAGGGATCATGTCGGGCTTCTTCAGGGTCAGCTAGGGTGTTTAGCAATCATGGCTTTGGACCAGTCTCCCAAGTTGATTCTGGAGAACATGCCCATGGCAGGGTCGCATTTGCTCAAATCAGCCTTTCCGGCCCTAGCCACGTGGGCTGTCAGCGTTCACCGTCCTAGAACTTGCAACAAGCAAGAACAAGAGGAAATAGAATCTTGACTGAAATTTTCCAGAAACTAATGAGTTCCTTCCGAAGGTTGATTTTACTCAAGTCTGCTGTGCGAAATTGATATACAGGAATCTCAATTCACCCCCAAGAATTGGAGATCCCCCTTTTGGCCTCGATGTTTGTCGTTTTGACAGGACTTGCCTGAACGCGTTTATGTAAGAACCTCACCTCACGTTTCTCATGGTGCTCTAGTGTTGCTTTCTTTTGTTTCGGGCGTTCTATGACTCTTCTCTTGGTTTGTCTTGGTTTGCTGTTGTTCTCCTATTGGTTTGCGTTTCTTGTTGGCTTGGATTCCTATTGTTTTTGAGTGGTGCCTATTTGCTCTTATTATTGTCCCAATGGTTTTACATGTTGTCTACTGGCTTGCTTCTGCCTTTCTACTGTACACGCTGTTTGCTGGTGCTTTGTTGGTTTGCTGTTCATGTTCACTTGGCTTTTGTTAGCTGTTGGTTGCTATTGGCTTCTTGTTGCGTAGTATTGGTTTGCTTTTGGCTCATGACTTCTGCTACTCTTCTATTGGTCTCCAGGTTTTCCTGAAAACTCCTGCTTAATTCAACATTAGGTTAGGCAGGGGCGGTGTTTGATGCTGCCTAGTATGAAGCAATTAGGTTCTAAACCGAACGGAAGCAAGTGCCAGATTTTGTGCTTGTCCTCGGGCTTCGTGGCCAGAGCGTGCCTTGCTCGCAGTTAGTCAAAAAGCGGCAGCACTCCGAGCTTAGATTCGTGGGTTGTTTTCATCATGCGGCCTTGAGAAGGAGAGGAGGCAGCTGACAGAGTCAAACCATTCACCTTGTCACAAAAATCCAAACTTACAGGAACGACCGAGGAGGATTCAGCTACATGAGTGTGCGCCTCGCATCTGGTGCATCAACCCAGTTCCTTCCTTAGCTCTTCCAAGGCAGCAATGAGACCGAAGCACGTCTTGGTGACAGGTCTGCAATTGCAACATGCAGCCAGTCGTGCTTGCGATACTCCGCCGCACTGAGTCCCACATCAGAAAGACCAAAGAAACCAGAGCCGAGACTCCCAGAAGCGTCCCAGAGCTTGCCTAGTCCGGAAACTGATGAGAGTTGTCAGCGTCACTGTCATAGCACTCCAGACCTGCACTAGGGGAGCTGAGGCTACTCACCAAATGCAATCTTTTTTCCTTGATTTAAAAGATGACAAGTTTCTAAATTTCGACCCAAGCGCCCTTTCCACACAAATCCGCCAGCACGGCTTGACAGGATACCCTCTCCCGGCTTTCCTGCCTTTGCCAGACCCAATTTATAAATGGGGCTCCAAAAAACGCACGAAGAGACACCTTCACCCCTGGGCAAGTTTGACCTCGTGGGGACTCCTAAGCCCCAACGAAGCTGGTCACGGCCGGCATTTTTGGGTCTTGCTTGGACTCCTCCCAAGCCAAAAACTCAGTGTCAAGAAATTGTCCCAAGCATCAGAAATTGTAGCTCTCAGGTGCCGCAGGTCAAGAATACCAACACGACAACAACTACCACGCACTACAATCAGGCTACCGAAAGAGAAGTCAAAGGTCTCTGTATTCCTTGTTTCCACAGCTTCCGAGGGTGTTATCAAGTCAATAAAGTTGAGGAACAGAGACACACCTTCCGGTCCAGGGGACAGCATCATCAGCAAGATTCAGTTTCCACCTCTAGTGAGTAAAGAAATCGGCTGTTCAAGAAACAGCGGCCCGATCGATGCTGTTGCGGTTGTGGCCCGGTTTGCAGTGACGTTTTGGAAGGCCCTGGCAAACTGCTACAGCGAGGCGCCACCTATGCCATGGCTTGGAACACCCCATCATAGCTCATAGTTTTTGCTTGTCGGTTCACATCAATGGGAGGAGCTTTGGTACAGGTTCTTGTAACTTCAACTTGGGTCTTTGCCCAACATTTAGAATCGAAAGGAGCAAACGTGGACAAAAAAGAATGACGCCCTACATGAATCAGAGCAAAAAGATTCTCTTCTTGACCACGGCCTGACTCTTGCTCAGGTCGCCCTGAGTAGTACGGATCTGGCTTCTCTCAGCTCACAAGGTTTCTTTTACCTTTGCTCATCTCAGGGCTGCGCAGTAATGTTGGTGGAGGTGAACTCATCTTCGGCATGCTGCTGGAAGACGATAAGCAGAATTGCCAGGATCACTGACGGCATGGAGAAGAGCACGGCCTCATCAAGTGCTTGGAGGATGAGAAACTGATGGACAGCAGTTCTTCCAAGGCATACTGTTGGCAAGCAAGGTTCTGCGGGAACGACGGAACCCTTCAGCTTGAAAAGCAAGTGCAGTCCCTCCTTGGCATTCAAGGCGCGTGCAGGATCTGGATGCAGTTTGATTACACAGAAGCGACTGGGCGAACATCTTTCACGTGGGAGGGTCTCTGTCAAAGTCCGTGAACATGCCAAGTCTCCGTGTATCGGATCATTATGGATTGACACTCAAGATGAGGTGGCACAGGCCAGGTGCTGGTTTGCCTAGCCAACTTTTTGTGCTGCTGCGATGTGAGTCAGGTAGGGATGTTTCGCTAACAAGCACTTCAAGAATCTGAGTGAGCTACAGCTACACTACTTTTACTTGGTAGCTGAGCTGGGCAGTGCCCCCTTGGCTGCATGCCGCCAGCATGACTTGCTTTTTGAATGCTTGGCTTGGCTGGACTTCTCCATTACTTTGTTTTACTGGCGGGGAGCGTCCCCGCGCTGTGGGCCATCGAAGCAGATCAAGGTCAATGCCACCATGTCCCGCTGAATTCATGTACCAGAAGCAGATGCAAATCAAGATTGCGCCTCGCGCACCCTTTCCCCCGCTGAAAGCCCGGACTCGCTGGCACAAGCCAAAACCTTGAGATACAAGCATTTGGCGGAAAGATTGCACAAACCAAGGAATCGAGCAGTATGAATCTTTCAGAAAGCTTTTCCCACCTCAACGGCGGTCTCCGGGAGTGGCACCTGAAACAGAAGATGTTTTACGTCATGCTTCGATCAGAGCGCTGCTGTTGGATTGTGGATTGGCGTTGAATCACGCGATTGCGTGACAGCTTCGCACGACTGCGAAGACAAGCAAGCACTTGGCAGCTACACACGGTCAGTATCCCGAAACCCCACACCCCAAAACTTTGCACCCAGCATTCTTGAATTTCAACACCGAGCCCCAATTCTCAAACCCTAAAAAACTTTACACACCACCGTTCACCAAAGGCCAACCTGGCGTCTGAAATGACCGCCGTTTAAACCCAACCCCCTGCTATTCAACCCCTCCCCATCCCAGACTTTCAGAAAAAATCGCATGTTTTTGTCTCAGCCTGTCAAGCAACTGCCAAAGCTGCTTTGGCCTGTGCCTAATTAGAGCTTTCGCTCTACCCGAGGTGACGCCAATGCCGCGGACCACCCCAGCTCAGCATCATGGAACCTCCGTTTCTCCAAGGGCTCCTGTTGTGCCCAACGCCATGTGCGCCGTGCGTGCGAAGGGGGGAAGCTGAGTTACGTCACAGGCGGGGGAGCAATTCTGGCGTGGGCCTTGACAACCCAGGCCTGCAGCTAATTGGCCCTCTGGCGTTGCTCGCCACTGAGTTTTTGAAGCCGCTTCAAGAGCCCTCAACCCCTCCAAGCCCAAAACCCTGGAAAGGAGAAATGAAATAGACCCCCAATGAAGCTGAGGATGCCCGACGCCCTTGGCCAGCAGCATCAGCATGCATCAGCATCATTGGGGTCCGTTTCTCCATTTGAAGGCTCCTACATCGCCAATGGCCCTGTGAGTTTACCTCCATCAATCCCATCATTGCCGAGCAGGCACAGGCAGACTAGACACCTGGAGAAGCAGAAGCGGACCTCCAATTATGCTGATGATGCTGGACCCCTTGGCCAGCATCATCTGCCTCGCCCAAGACGGGCCTTGGGCTTTCTTTCAAAAACGTCCATGATGCTTTTTTGAGGGCCCCGGGTTTACAAATCTCGCCGTAGCGTTGGGGGAAGCTTCCAAAAAGTATGTGAATTTGAGCTTGGTTTTGGATCCCAACAGAAAGAGCGCAAAAGCAGATTCGATGCATCTAGAATCCCCGAAGAAATGGACCCCCGATGATGCTGATGACGGTGGCCCCCTTTGGCCAGCATCATCACCATCATTGAGGGTCCGTTTCTCCATGTTGGGCTCCACAATACCCATTGAGATCTACGCTTTTCTCAGCTTTGGCCCAAGACGGACTTTGGGAGACTTTGGGAGCCAGTTTTCAAAAGTGGGTGCTCATGATTGCTTGGGGACGCAACAATCCTCGAGATCATCCATCCGCAGCATATTGGGAGCTTCCGGAGTTCACGTTGAGTTCAAACTGTTTTGGGGCTGGGGTCCGCGAAGGCTCTCTGGAGAGACGGACAGCCCTGCCGCCTTCATAGCCAGCAGCAATTAACAGCGAGAGCAAGAGTAGCAGGTTGCTGCACGCGCGCGCATGAAAGGTGCTTGGGGGCCAAACTCCAGCCTGCCAACTTGGCCACAAGACCAGAGGGTCCTGGATGTGTGGGTTGCAGGCTACGTACGCTGGTATAGGGTTGGAGGATTTTGGGTCAGGAGTTAGGTTTGTACACTGAATGGATGGACGGTTTTGGGAGGGACCTGCGGGTGCAGACTGATTATCATGGATTGCAGGATTTTTGGGCGAGATTTGCGGTTGCAGATTGTGTAGTCAGCATTTCGGAATGCAGGTTGGTTACACTGATGGTTTTGGAGGGATCTGGTGTTGCAGGTCGTGGTGCAGGTTCTCAGGTAGCGTATGCTGATGGGTTTGGTAGAGGGGTTGCACTTTTGCAGATGCACTATTGGCCGCTCAAACGGATTGTTTGCGGCGTCAGCCCATGGGGCTACCACCATTGGACCTCCGTTTCTCCAAGGTGCCCTGCTGGAACCCCAAACCACGCTCAAATTCACATCCCTTCCGGAAGCTTGCCCCCTGCGGCATGGAAGGATTTTGAAGTTCTGTGCTCCCCCAAAAAAACACCATCAGCGCGGACGTGTTTGAAAACTGGAGAACTGAGGAAAATTGTAGGGAGAAAGCTTCATTGAGGGTTTATTCCCCACCCTCGCAGTGGGGTTGCTAAATTTTAAAGTAGATGTTGNNNGGAAGCTGACTTTAGTGACCAACCACCAAGTATCCCTGCAGTGCCCAACTGCAGAGTATCCCTGCAGTGTCCAACCACCAAATATCCCTGCAGGGCCCAACCCAAAAGTATCCCTGCAGTGCCCAAGCGCAGAGTACCCCTGGAGTGCCCAACAGCAAAGTATCAATGTTCTTGCAGCGCATTTGCAGTGCTGCAAGGAAAACAGTTGAAGCTACTACTACTACTACTACTACTACTATTACTATTACTATTACTATCACTATATTATTAGTATCACTATTACCATTACCATTACCATTACTATTACTATTACTATTACTAGTACCAGTACTATTACTATTACTATTATTATTATTAGTAGTAGTACTACTACTACTACTACTACTACTACTACTACTATTCCTACTAGTACTACTACTTCTCCTTCTACTTCTATTACTTCTACTTCTACTTTTATTACTTCTACTACTACGACGACGACTGCCACCACCACCACCACCGCCGCCGCCGCCGCTACACTTACTAGTACGCTACATGCCCATTGCTCTTACTGTCGATCGGTCCTGATAAATGCTAAGAAGTCGGCAGGGCCGGCCCACACCCCTTGCTCCATTTTTGGCCCAGCATGGTGATTAGCTAGGAAAGTTTGCATGAAGCTGTCATGGTACGTGAAGGCTTCATGAATGCGAGGGCTGTATCATGACTTTTCAAATTTTACGGAGTTCTCGTGAGGGTTTTAGGGTCCAGGGCCTCTGGTGGTTTGCGCTCATTTCATGATGGTTCTCTGGAGTCGATTGGCCTTTGTGTCAAGATGAAATGTTTGGGCCGATCCAAGGGTGGTCTGTGGAGGCCTGCACAAAGGTATGCAGTGCTTGAGCTTCGACGGCTTTATCAGTGGTACTAGCGACAAGGGGTCAAAATCAGAGCCAAATAATGCTTGCTGCTGGTGTACTGAAATTTGTGCACGCATCCCATCTGCAGCCGTTTAAGCCTCTAGGTAGGCAAGTCGCATGTACAACAACATGTACAATCATTACAGTAGTATTTTCCCTTCCTGGGGCTTCGGCCCTTCGGAGTTGGACTGTTCTCGCTTGTGGTAAAAAGGGTTCTTTTCCTGCGTGCCCCGCCATAGTACCTGCGCCAGCAGGTGATGAGCCCAACACGCTAGCACTGCGTTTCTTGTACAGATGAGACAAGGTAATAGTGGTCGGACTATGGACGGGCGAGCAGATTAATCACCAGTGATAGACCCTCGTGGTCAATTGGTTTCTAGAGCCTTTGGAGGAGGCTCTGGACGTGCTCTGGGTCTCACAACCCGAAGACCATGTGGTGAGCAAGGTCCTCGTTCCAGCGTTAACGCACCGGCTAATGCGCAGTATTACACTGGCGAACAAGGTGTTTAGACTGGAACCAGTAATATTTGCGCGAGCCACAGTAAGAATGGCCCTAGCCTTGCGGCAGGCAGTGGTCCCCTGATCAGGGATAGCCGTCAGTCACCCGGCTATGGTCTTATGAATTGTAGTGCTGGTCAAAGCGTTGGTTCGAGAAGACCATTTGCTCCAGGGACAAGTGCTACCAGGCGGTATTGGCAACTGCGTTGGGACGAGGCAATCTGAAGGGGACGCGTGGAGGGTGCACCAAGTTCCATTCTACGCCAGCTTGGTATGGCTGATAATGGCCCTATGATGTTACAGACGTTAAAAGGTTGCAAGTTGGAGCACGAGTTTGGCGACCAGTGTTACGTCGCATTGTGTCAACCGCGGATGTTGGAGAATCTGGCCAAATCTCGACATCGAACGCGGCAGATTCGCCCAATCTGGGGCCCCGAGGTAATTCTGGACAGGGTGTTGGTGTGAGAAGTGGTACGCGCACGCCATTCTCAGGGGGTCATCAAGTTAGGGCAGGAGAAGCCGGGGCAGAAGTTAGTGAAGGCTTTGGTTGTCATACAAATCCTACCCCGTCCGGTAATCCCACGCATTCCCTACGCCCCGCGTTGGCCAGTATTGGTCGTGATGACTCTGGAGAAGTCACACAAGTGTTAAGTCCAGAGGCACGAGCCAAGCGGTTGCACGCCATCCAAAATGAGTTGCAGAAGCTTCAGTAGGAAGGGAACATTCAAGTAGAGGATTAGGTCAAAGTAGTAATAGACCTGCTGTGAGTCATATGCCTCTCGGTAGCGCAAGTGCGCCTGGACCGTCTGTTAGTAATCAGGTGCTAGAGTTCGCCAACCTGGCCTGGTCTACGAATGAACTGATAGGTAGACACAGGAGCAACCACGTTGAAGGTCGAAGTTGGGCGCGTGACACGCTGGCTCCTGGGCTGGCGGCTGGCGGCCTGAGTAGGGGTGAGGGTCCTAGTCCATTGTCCCCATCAGTAATACCCAACCAGACAGTAAGGAGTTAACTGGCAAGGGAAAGCGCGCGTAGGCGCGCTGGGGTTGGTTGTCTCCTTATCCTCTCTCAAGGTCCGAGGATCCAGCGCAGTGTGCCTCACTGGATGGAGGTCCGCCTTCGCCTCCAGGTTGTCCATCGTCATCTCAACCATCCTCAAGACAGTCACCCCCCACCAGAGGGAGGGAGGAAACTACGCTGTAGGCATTGCTGCTAGGGTAGAGAAGCCAGTAGAAGACGCAGTAGACAGTAAGGCAACGTCCAAGGAGTGTACGCAAGAGCTGTCTACTGACAGCCTCAGCAGAAGCACCTGTAGAGAGTAAGGGAGCGCCAAGCATGGCCCCTTCGATTAATGACATCAAGCCTAGTCCAGCTTGATCCTGTCGCTCTACAAGTTGCACAGGAGGAGGTCAGGAGTAATTAGATCTAGGCCCAGTAGGGAGCATTGCC